CCACTTTTGACCTTTGTTAGCAGGCTGGGAGCTTATCGTTCCCATAGCTTATGGTAAGTCTTACTCGCTATCTTCCCTAGAACACGACCAGCCTATTAGTTAATAATCAGGTACGCAATTACTGCTGGGTGAAAAGGTGTGAGCAGTTGAAGACTTGCGTCCGGTCAAACCTCCCTGGCCGAACTCGAATGCTGATAAAATAGCTCCCAGGGCGAGTGTGTTGTCACTACACCATCTGGGACTAAATTTCTATGTTTTCAAAGTGTGTATGACAAGTATGAAACTCTATAGAATGATAAGTTTTGTCAGCATATTTCAGATTCAATCCTGACAAAATATTTTTAAATTATTAAAAGTATAGTGTACTAGATACATGAATCTGGTGGGGAAATTCCATAGAGTTTATCCACCTGCGAGATGGGGACTTTTGTTACCACTGCTGCCTTATTTAATCTTGTGTTGATGATATCCTCAAAATACTTCCGGAGTCTGCCAGTGCAGACTGCCTATCACATGCCTCTGTATGACTAACCATCCTGTGTGATGGGGATTTTTTAGCACCACATAGTTAGCTTTTTTGAAACACTGTACAGTACTTCACTTCATATAGTCTAGGGTAGCTGCACTAATGCAGATGTACCTCATGTATTAATAATAATATAAAAAAGACCTGTTCCTCATAATACACCCAGAGTCTGCCAGTGAAGACAACTTATCACATGCCTCTGTATAACTAACCATCCTGTGTGATGGGGATTTTTTAGCATCACATAGCTAGCTTTTTGACACACTGTACTCCCCTTCATATAGTCTAGGGCAGCTGCACAAATGTAGATGTACCTAAATGTCTTAAAAAACAAAAAAAAAAAAAAAACTGCCGGTATGAGATATCTGGAGCTCTGCACTTACTAAATCCACTCTCATGTTCTTAAGAATACATTCAAAGTTTGCCAGTGAAGACTGCTGGTCGCATGCTCCTGTATGACTAACCATCCTATGAGGTCATTAATACTTTAATGTACAATCATTATTTTATGTACATTGTCTCCCAATCATGCAACTGAAACCATTTATGTAAGACATTCCGTTTCACTCCAAGACCTAATTTGACTGTTTACAGACAAAAATTATCCCCCCCTCCTCCCAAATCTAGGCCTAAAATTCCCCCTTGTGTCCTCCCTAAAATATAATAATAATAAACATAGGAGCCACTTACCATGCATCCCTAAAATAAATGCACAAGTTTCTTCTACTCTATTAATACAGCAAGACACAGTAATATTAGTATAGTCATGGTAATACTGGTAGTCACGGTAATGCTGCATGTCGGGGTAATGCTGCATGTCACGGTAATGTTGCATGTCACGGTAATCCTGCATGTCATGGTAATCCTGTATGGCATGGCAATGCATGTCAGTGATACGATACTGAATGCAACAGTAATGCCACAAAACATGGTAATACAGTACTGTATTTCACGGTTATATTGCATATCATGACAATATTACATGTCACAGTAATACTGCATTTCACAATACTTACTAAAAGTCAAATACTTAATTTCAATACTGTACTTCCCATCACAGTAATACTGGATGTCAGTGTAATATGGCATATCACAACATTACTGCATGCATAATAATACTATATCCCCCTGTACATTAACATCAATATAAATAATAAACTTAATGTCATATTTACGTCCTTATAATACAAGTTTTCTGGGGTTAGAAAATTGTTTGTTCTGACAACCTGGAGGACAACTGATTGCGGCGTGCGAAGCCCTTCCTCTGGCCAAAGGATAGGAGATTAACTGTGTTCCATCTTCTAGACTAGTGGTTCCTAATTTGTGACCAGAGTCCCTATTTTGTTATACTGAAAAGACCCCCAAAGGGGTCGTGACCCACTAGTTGGGAACCATTGTTCTTGACATTTGCAGTTCGTTACTGTCAGGCTACAATAAAATATCTCCTACAGTTTGACTCTTCCTCTTGTGGGGTCGAACTAAGACTACAAACCTAACCCAAAGACTAGATGAATACTGTATTAATGTGGTACCAATAACACAGTTGTTGCAGCACCAGACACATCAATCATATTTACATGCACATGGGGTATAGCAATATCATGAGCATAAATCCATTCCCTCGCAACACATAGTAGTTGCTGTAAGTTACCTTTAAGGGTTTTAAATACAAATTATACTGTGTAGGTGATTTACTGTGTCATTACATGACCTAAAATCTCATGTTTTCATTATACCTTCATGAAGGTATTATTGACAGGTTCGGAGGTTAACTTCATGAGAAACTCTCAGGCTCTTATGTTCGACATTCCTAATGATATTGCGACAAGTGTTGTCACTGATAGTGCAACACAAAATTCTGTCATGATGCACATTGCCAATAAAATATTTTTTGCCTTTTAGCAGAAGCCATGTGGCAAATCAAAAGTGACATAAGTGCATTTTTTCAGTTAATAATAGATGTATTATAGACTGTTAAGAGTATTCAATATTTCAAGAAAGATTAGATGTGGAGAAGTCCATAATAAACTTTGTACTGTAATGTATAATTCAGTTGCATAGTCCTTTCTTGGTGAACTCTGTCCACGTACAATATGTGATGAACCAGCTTGTTATGACTTTACGGGTCAAACATGAAATAATTTTGCCTAACCAGAAGCTTAGGAACTTAGGCAACCAAGGCCAATGTTCATTAGTTCTAGTTCCGTCAGTGTTTCAGTTCTTTTAATTTCACTAAACCATCTCATATTTTACGTTGGAGTCAATACCATAAACACTGGGATGCATTAAATGTGAGGACATATATTACAGGTATAAATTCCAAATGAAGGTCAAGTAAGTGATTATCAAAAGGAGGCACCAAGCCAGGCAGACTATATAGCAAACCGAAGTTCAAGGAAGTTATACATTTAGGAAATTTATCTTTAAACTTCGTTATTACCACTTGACCTTTCTTGTCCCATCCATTGAATCCTCCTCCAGGAATAAGAAATAAACTAATAATGCAGCAAACAAAAATATTTATGTAAACAAATTGGAGCGTACGATAGAGACAACTTTCCTTGTGTTTTTCATTTGTATTTATTTCAAACAGTGATTAATTAGCTTAAAAAGTTTTATTCACACAAACTCAAAAGCCATTACAATGCCATTCTAAGAATCTAGTAAACGTGTCATAGATCAACACGTTTCATGAGAATTTATGTGTTACCATTTGCCTTCATAACATTAGCCTTGGTCAAGCTTCCCAACTCTTGAAGTCATTATGTGAGCAATATTCAGATGTTGTTTCATTACCATTTCTCAAGTACAAGTAAGTAAAAGTAATTTAGGTATACTGTACAGTATTAGCAAGTATGTAAAAGTACAACGTGTAGAAAATTTGGTAATGTAATTCCAAGTACTGGATTTAACTGTCAAGTACAAGTACAAATACTTTTGTGAAAGACAAATATACATTTTTTTTTTTTTTACTTAATTACAAGTTTAGAGTCATAGTAAAAAGAAAATTAATGTGAAATAGATAACAGAAGCATAATGTTTCATTGCCTAGGTCCCATGAACTAAAATACAGAATTTCTTAATCACTTTTCAAAACTACAGCAAAATTTTATTTGTGAATATAATCATTACACTTCACTACAATGACTATTTGCAAATTTTTATCAACTAAACAGTAATGATGTGAGCAGAATACTTTTCCTCCAATACTAAAGCTGAGGATACTTGGACAGATGGGCAGGTCTGGGATCACCTGGTAAATTATCATGTGCACATGGCAAGTCGAGATAGTATGAGTGATCTCTGTGTTCAGTAGTGTATTCAGCTACAGGTTGGTTAGGGTTGGTTGGCATTAGGATCTTCCATAAAACTAAATAAAAGTATTTTTTTTATGGTGAGAGGAGGAGATCTAGTATTTACTAGAGCAACCAGTGTTCCAAGATCTGTAGTGATTTGTGCATAAACTCGGCTGGTAAGTCAGTTTTTTTTTCATTTAATCCTGGCACCACCATGCTTTAAGGCTTGGGCCAAGTACAGCAGTAAAATGAAACACTGTATTCTGCTTCATCCTAAGTCAATTGCTTCTTCAATTGAGCTCTTTAATACTACCACAAAGTTATTGTTATGCAGGTATTTTAATTTCATCTGCTCGAGATGTAGTCTAGGACTATGAACACTTGGAACTACATAGCTATCTTGAGAGGTTATCTTGAGATGATTTCGGAGCTTTTAGTGTCCCCGCGGCCCGGTCCTCAACCAGGCCTCCACCCCCAGGAAGCAGCCCGTGACAGCTGACTAACACCTAGGTACCTATTTTACTGCTAGGTAACAGGGGCATAGGGTGAAAGAAACTCTGCCCATTGTTTCTCGCCGGCGCCTGGGATCGAACCCAGGACCACAGGATCACAAGTCCAGCGTGCTGTCCGCTCGGCCGACCGGCTCCCATTAGCAGCTAGCAGCTAGCAGATACTGTTCTCCATCTGGGTGTAATCTGTAGCCTCCTCAAAATATTTAAGAATATCTAATATATCCTGAAATATGTTCCTTTTATAGCCCCAAGAAAAGTGACATCTTCCTTCAGCAGAGAAAATATATTTTCTGGGTAGGCAAGTACAGTTCAAACCAATTAAACTTGAGATCTCTCAGAACACAAACTAACTGATGCATAATATAATTGATTAGGAATACAGTACTTCAAGTAAATACACAAGAGTAAATAAAATAATCATAAGAAAATGCAATTTATAAATAGCAAGGAAAAGAATACTGCTCCCTTGAGTGTAGGCAGCAAACTTAAATCAGAAATGTTGACCAGACCACACACTAGAAGGTGAAGGGACGACGACGTTTCGGTCCGTCCTGGACCATTCTCAAGTCGATTGTGAATGGTCCATTCTCACAATCAACTTGAGAGTGGTCCAGGATGGACCGAAACGTCGTCGTCCCTTCACCTTCTAGTGTGTGGTCTGGTCAACATAATTTAGCCACGTTATTGTGATTCATCGCCTGCTTAAATCAGAAATGCATAAATGTTAGTGAGATGCCACATCTTTCATCAAATTGTAACTTATAACAAAATTTAAATATATACTTGGAAGTACTGTACTTAAAAAGATTCTTTAAAGTACATGTAATTGAATATTTTCAAGTAAATTTAATAAAGTCAAATTTTTTAGCTAAGCCCATATCTGATGGCAGCAGCAATCAACATGGAGGGATTAAGAGGGAGTTACATAATCAATTTAAGATAAGACATTGAACCTCATGAAAAATGGCTATTGTACCAAAAGAATTGCCAAGGATTTTAAAAATAGCATACGTACTGTGTGTGAGATAAGGAAACGTAAATAACAATACGTGCAATACACGACTACTAATAAGAGTGAGAGAGCAAGCACTGCAGCAATAGAGATTGTAACATAAAAATCTTGAAGCATGCACAGTTAAATGAGGCTGTGTATAAATAGTTTGCACAGCACTGCATAGTGAATATGCGATGAAATAAGGAATGCAGCAGGCAGGTTTGTTACTGTTTAGGAATTAAGGAATTCAGAGTAAGTGATGGTTAGATTCTCAGACTTAAATAGAGGCACAGCATTGTCTTGATAAAAATGTTGGTGAAAAATTTAGTGTAGATGAGAGCAGAGGAGCCATTAAAAATTAATTAAAAACACATTTTCTAACAATTTATATAAGTATCAAATTTATAAAAGTGATGAAATAGATGTTTATTGGAGAAGGTCACCTGATAAAACTTTAGCTTTGAGGAGTGAGGTAAGTGTGCCAGACTGTCAAGTTAACAAAGAGAGCTTGTCAGCAATGATGTGTAGCAATGCAGATGACGTGCACAACCGTGTGTTCAATCGTTGACAAATCTAAGCAGTCAAGCGCCTTAAAAAATGTCCTTGCACAATCTGCCTGTAAAATATTAGAATTCAAAGAATGCATGGTTTACACAACAGATTTTATCTTTCTTGGTTTCATTGTGTCATGACCATCAATTATAAAAATCATGGAGTGAGGCCAAGTGAGGTTTGGCTTGATAATGGCTTTTACTTTTACTTTTAATGGCTTTGGCTTTTACTTGATAATGGCCCAATGGTCCTCTCCACCCCAGTAGTGACATGATGGAAAATACATACTACTGTATTTTTGACGCTTACTACATGCCAAATACAGTGGAACCCCGAATAACGAATTTAATCCGTTCCGGCGCCGTGATCGTCATGGGAAACAGATGTCATACAAAACGAATGTCCCCATTGACAATATTGGAAATCAAATTAATCCGTTCTATCACCGAAAAACATCAATATGATATTCGATGTTTTAAATAATTGAGCAGCCTACTGTACATACACTGAACAAACCTTTATGACATTTTTCTTTCTTCAAATTTGTTCAATATGTTTATTTCATTTGTCTTATAGCAAAAGGTTTGTTCGGTGTTCGGCAGATAGGCTGCTCCATGTTTCTTAAATACAAAAATACAAAAATAATAATAAAAAATTAATAATTTTGAAAACCAGAACAAATGTCAAAAAGGTTTGTTCAGTGGTCTGCAAGTAGGTTGCTCCATGTTTCTTAAATAAAAAAAATAAAAAAATAAAAAAAAACGTTGAAACGTTTTGAAACACGGACAAATGATATACTGTATAGGTTCATTCAGTATTTGACAGGTAGGCTGCTCCATTATAACAATCTTTCTTTGTTTCAAATGTGTTCCATTTGTTTTGTATTTTTCATTTACGTCTCAATAATGGAGCAGCCTACCCGACAAACACTGAACGAACCTTTATGCCATTTGTCCATTTTTCAAATTGTTTCAACTATTTTATTTTTTTTTTTTTATAGGGCTATTTTGTATTTCCTATCATGCCTCCTAGTCTCATGGGGAGTTATTTCCATGTGCAGATTTGGAATCAGTCCCCTCTAATATGTTTTAAGTGTAAGCCTTCCATTTTAAGTGTAAACCTTCCATTTTAAGTGTAAGCCTTCCATTCAGAAATGAAACAATATAAACAGTGTGAATCACAAATGTTTATGACGAACTGGTTTGATGTGTCAGTTTCAGGGCTGTCTGGAGATAATATGGAAGGGCTAGAAAGTGCAACACTAGTCCCTTATCATAAATCATAGAAATATCAAACTGAGAATAGATCATAATGTGTGAATAAATATCAGAACAGTCTAGACATACAAATTAGTCAGAGGACCCTAGTTTGAAGATACCTCAGGGTCTAGAATTTTAAATTAAAAATACAGAAATTTAAATCTGGGGAAGGAGTATTTATGAGGTGTCTCACTTTAAAATTAGACCACCAGATTTTTAATCTCTGCCAAGCAGGAATAAATTAAATTTCTTGGGAATGGACAGAGAAAAGCTAAGGATTCAATAAATAAAGTTTAAGAGGAACCTTACCACATTACCAAAAACAGTAGGTCAGGCAGTGGACACTAGTGCTGCAAGCACAGGGTAACATTTGGCAAGCCACTGGCTTCCTGTCCCCATCAAGGCTCATAGAGATGGTGGCTCTTCTGATAAATTCAGGTACTTTTTGACAACTAGCCTTTATGATTTATCTTCAAAAAATGTAGCTGCTTCCTTGACAAACAATAGCTTACCATCCAGATGAAGTCATCAATGATACTTTACAGTAATGTACTAGTACTCATAAAAAACTTGATATATCTGATGCATTCTTGATCATTGTATTAGTTTTCTGTGTCCAATTCTGAAACACAAAAATACATGTAGAAAATGTAATACCTTAGGCTCTAACAAAACAAGACACGTTTCTATAAAACTTTTTATGGTGTATGAAACCATGCTAAACAAAAGGGCAGCTTATTGGTGCAGGAGAAGCAGAGATTTTGCGGGGAAAATGCAAGAATGTAACTATAAATGTGGCCAAATACACAGGGGAAAACTCCATTTTGGAGGCATCACAATACAAGAAAATACAGTACAGTATTGTAATTCAATGTGTAAACATAAAGCCAATTTACAATCCAAAAATCTCTTATGTTATGCACAGTGACATGAGACTGTCAGGAAGTATGTGAGATGGTTTAAGTGCCAGTATCTGGATGGCAAGACATTATCATTCACTTGTAAGGGAATTTTACCAGTGGGCAAAATTATAAATTATTTATACCTTTAATTACTATACTACCAGGCAACACTCCTATAACAGTGAACCTGGTTCTTGAATGATCACAGAAACTGGCATCATAAGTACTTCAATGTTCAATAGTTCCTTTCTCATTTTTCACCACTTCCCCTGCATTTAGGCAACTGTATCAGCCACCTCATTTAATTTTGGTGGCTTATTGCTTTGGAACCACTGACTGTTAAGGTCTAATATTATTACCTATGACTTTATCCTCCATAATTATTCTATATTTAAATTTTTTGGAGGCCAGGGGAAAAGAGAAAGATAAATGGAATTTATCTTTCCATTTTATTATTTATTATTTTAAATGGAAAGATTTATTATTAAGATAAATAGAATTTATTATTTTAAATGGAAAAATAAATGGAATTTATCATTCTCTTAACTCGCAAAAACCCTAGCATCATCCAGAATTTTTTTTTAATAATAATAATATTATTGATGTTGCTGGCATTGAAAGAAGCTTTTGATTTAAGACCATCCAAATGCTGTACAATTCGAATATAGGAAATAATACAACCTGCACATTTGGAATTAAGTGAAAAATAACCTTACATTAAAGAGCCTTCAGTCCATGAACAGCATTTCATTATTTGGTGATAGCTCTTGCAGGGTTATTAGAAATGATTCTTTATGATATGAGAAACAGGTTAAAAACAGGATCAAATGTAGTGCTATACTTCACTGTATTAGAACCTTAAAACACCAAAGAAATACTTTCAGTGAGTGTAGCAGAGGTGTGATTCTTGCTGTAGTTACTTTAGGGACAACAAAAGAACTAAACTGCTTTGCAGGAAGAATAATCTATGCTGTGCAGAACACCTAGCCCCCTTTATACGGCAGGCATCAGTTTTCTACCCTACACAGGTTAACTGTAAAATTATCTATCGACATTCCCACTAACGCCATACAATAAGGTATCAACGTACTCCTAACCCTTAGCCAGTTAAATAACTCTATGAAAGAATAGCCATGCCCTCATAACATCATTCTCGACTCACAATCAGGAATCTTGAGTTTTAATCCAGAGCAGAACATAAATGGTTGACTTAAAGCTTGAGAGTGGAGGATGGGTTGTGTTGTTGAGGACAATGATGGAACTAAGCCATATGCACCCTGCACTCCACAAGAAGACACGGCAAGAGCCTATATCCCATAACTAGTACAAAGCCAATTGGTAGAAACGACAAGTTTTAGATTGGCTGATAAAGCCCCATAGCGACTGAGAAGCCAAGCAGGTGTTAGTGGATGGCATAACTCATTTCATCATCCAGGCTTACATGACCAAAGAATATGAGAAACATGAGGTGAGAGATATAAAGACTTAATAGGTTGCTACAGAGTATTTATAATTAATAATACATTTGTTTTGCTGGGGACAGGCAGCCTGTGTATGTACATACGTTAGGTTTGTATTGAGGTCACCCCCTAAGATCGAACTACTGACCCTCCCCCAGGATGCCACTCCACAACAGTTGATTAACTCACGGGTACCAATTTACTGCTAGATGAACAGAGGTATTATATGAAAGGAAATGTTGTTGATTTAGGGGCGACAACAATCAAGAGATCGGATGCAAGGAAATGTGCCCAGCCGTTCTGTTTTGCTCTGGATTCCAGAGTGTGAATCGAGAACGAAACCAACGATACTACCATTGTAAAAACATGACCAGAGGAGGTATTATATCGTTGCCTCCCTCTGTGGATACTTCCAACTGTCAGGACAGTCCTTCATCAGAAGACAGAATAGATGGTAGGACGCGTGAGGCCTGTACGTAGCTGTAAAAGAGACTTCTTTGTGGTATGTGCAATCCGAGACATCAAGGAATCGGACGCAGAGACGATGTTGTTGTTTTGATCACGTCAGAGGGTCGTTTGCGGGCCCGCGTAAACATCTCCATTTTCTTTGGTTGGCCTATTTGGTGAACCTTAATATATTTAGTTTGATATATTTATACGAATACCACCATTTTTTTTAGAGGAATTGACAAGAACAGGAAGTCATCACGTTCCACCATTATTTCCGATAATTATTTTTGCTGTTATTTACGGAAATTTATAACCTAATGGGACGAAAAGTTATATATATATATATATATTTATATTTATTTTCTATCCTATTGTTGCTACCTTTAGCTTGAAGCGGTGTGGCAAGTTTCCGTATAGAATCATGGGAGTGAAGGGGGTCAGTGTTTGTTATGAGTGAAGGAATTGGTTTATTTTTTAAACGTTCATGATTGGTCGTAAAAGGGAAGTTAAAAATTTTGTTCAAGACTGTGAAGGATTTAAATCGTCATCAAAGATGGGAAAGGAGTGAGAGTTTAGCTGGTGGTGATTTTTAAGAATGATTGTAAGGTATTAGTGAGGAGTCTTATATATATGGCACCGGCTTTCGGGTGAAGTCTTTGGTTATTTAGTGGCAAGGATGGATATTATTTTCTGTTTATAACTAGCTGATCGATTCTCTTGTTGTTGCAACGAATACGTTTTCTATGATTAGGTAAATTTTTAACACGGACTTTAATAATTTGTTTTCTTAATTATATTGGAAGCATACACACATATGGTATATATACACGAAGCTACGTGTATCTTGCTTCTTTTGATGTATACACTGTGCAGTTTACTTTTCTAAAATGTGCCCCGATGGCCTTGTTGAGGACTTGTTTGTAAACCAATTGGTGAATCGAGTTTTAGGGAAAACTAGTATGGTGGGAAAAGCTAAGCCTGCTAACAAGTCAGTAGTCTTCTGCTCCTGAACAAGAATCAGAAATCGTCTTCTGGTCTCACGAGAAAAAAATAAAGAGTCGTGACAACATTTGATCAGAACAGGGTTCAATAATATAAAAATCCAATGGGTTCATTAATATCTCCTCATTCGTAGTAAGGACTCCCTTAACCGTCTGAAATGAACAGATTGTCAAGCATTGAGTAACCTGAAGCTTGTCTGCAGTTCTTTAAGATGTTCATAATCATTTAAAGATGTTGGAACCAGAGTGAGTTTAGGTAGTCAATAAATTCTTCAGAACAACCAGACAGCTGGCAGTTTAAACACAAAATAGCCCTCTATAGTATTTTCAGTTGTATCCAGCCGTGGTCGAGGGCGGCCCACAACGAATCTGAGGTTTCCGTGAGCATCGCAATGCTCACGGAAACGAGATTATTAACGTTTCACAACCCTTAAGCTTACGTTGTTATCTTGCGGGTGTAAAATTGGGACTGCTTTAATGCATCTATATTTTAAACAAAAATTTTAACTCGATGTGGCATATTGAGGGTACTGCACATTTTTCTTAATTTTCTTTAATATAAAACATTGCTTTCTGATGTTGGAAAAAATTATACTCTTATTAAGCTGACCGTTGTGAAATGATGAAATGTTGATGACATCATTTTCAGATTGAAAATTTTCAAGTAAACAATTTGTTAATATAATTTTCCTCAAGCCCAACCGCTTGGGCCGGACGGTAGAGCAACGGTCTTGCTTCATGGAGCTCGGCGTTCAATTCCCGACCGTCCAAGTGATTGGGTACCATTCCTTTCCCCCGTCCCATCCCAAATCCTTATCCTGATCCCTTCCCAGTCCTATATAGTCGTAGTGGTATGGTGCTTTCCCCTGATAATTCCCTCCCTCCCTCCTCATCACTAAGATTATCCAGGTCCATAAAATTCTTTGTAATATTGCATGGCGACAATGGTTCCCAGCATTTGCATCAGTCATTGGCCACCTGAGATAACGCCCACCTTTTTACTATGGCCCAGAAACGAAACTGTTTCGGGATTTTTGTTGAATATAGCAAACGATTGCCCAACCCGTCCTCGACTCAAGTCCATTACATCCAGCGGTCGCCCCCACAGACGCATTCATAAATTTTAACATGGTGTTCATTCAGAACAAGAATTTTCTCAAATATAAATTAATATTATAGTATATTAGCATATTGTGCATATATAGGCATAGGTTAGGTTAGGTTAGGTGTTTAGGTTCGGTTCGCGATTATTTGTATTTGTAGTACGTGGGTGAAGCATTTATAGCGAAGTGGTTCGAACAAAACTCGTCAGTGAAGCACTTGTTCCGGAAGTGTTCGAACGAAATCAGTTGTGAGTCGTGTGTAAACCGTTTTTCATTCATAAACAGGGGGTTTGGCGGGTGGATGGAATCACATTTGGATCTTTGTTTGGAGGACGGGCTGCGATTGCCAGAGGTCTCGAGTGTCGAATGACGGTCACACAGAGTCGGTAGGACTTTTGAATATATGGGAGCACATCCAGTCTCTCACAAGCGCGAGGACGACCGGCGCAGTTTAAGGGTTAAAGAGTGTTCCAGGTGTTGTTC